TACAAAAGGAACAAGGAACATGCAGCCTCAGAAGGGAGCCCACTGTCCTCTTTATGGATCCCATGTTCAGCTTCCTTGATTTTTGGTGGAGGCTAAACAACCCCTGGAACGCCCTATCTAGCGCATTGCCTATGAAGCCACATATGTATGCGTTCCATGTACAATCCCGGCAAGAGTGGAGTTTTACGCTCTGCCTGTGTCCATAGCTGCATCCTCGAGTGTTCCGCGGGTCTGCCCTTGGCAATCCAGCGGGGGCTGATATTGGGTAATTCACCCTCACACTCATAGTTACTACCTTGCACCAGTAGTTACCCAAAGCGCAGTAGGAGTTCTAATAACCCTTCATAAGACCCCTTTGACGACAGTTACTGTGAGGGGGAATCGCCCAAGGTTTAGGATGTTTTCGGCTTGAGAATGCAAAACAACAACGAAAAACTCCTTGGTGTTCAAGCGATGACCGGGGGAGGGGGCTGCAGAGTTTTGGGTTTGGGGAAGCTTCGGGCTGCAAACCCTACACATATATACGTGTATGTATGTCTGTATGTATGTGTTTATAGGTTACACAAAGCCCAAGCCCTATGATCCCAACCCCAGGTTCTCTATAAGCACACTCCCACAGAGGAACACCCGCATGCTTTGTGCAAGATTTCACCATGCTTGGCATGGCTGCGCTTAGGCTTCGGCGGTGTTCCCTCATTTTCCTGGGCTTGGGCGACAGTCAACAGTGAAGGGCCTCTTGATGCCAGCAATTCTGGATGCCAATAACAACACCCTCAACCAAAGGGGAGGGGCTTCGCTTCTTCCATGCTTTGTGTGCACGTAACATCTCATGTTCTGAATGTTGCCTACCTGAGCCCCAGAGGTATGTAAAATAATGCGCTTAGAGGCTGTTGTTAGGAGGAGGTTTGGGCTATGACTTTCGGGGTGCAGCAGCAAGCAGCAGCCCAGGTGAAAGGATCGAAACATCAGATTCCAAATGTCCGAGCGGCTTTATGGCTTCCTTCATGCGGCTCTGCATGTCGTTGATGCGGTGAACCAGCACCTGCAAATTGCCAAACTCAGTTCTGAGGGAAGCAGCGCGCTTAAGGGGTTGTGCTTTTCCACCCCTTTTTTTAGTCTCCCTTATGCAAAAAATGGAAAGCAATCATCCAGAGTTGCCAAACAGTGAAATGTTTTGCCTGCCTCATACTTGAAGCTTTCTCGTAGGTGATCTCACTGCCAAGTATTAGCGGACCACCCCTCCTATAACCGTGCCATTTTACAGCCGTCCTACATAGGTAGCACTCCTGCAATGTGGTCCCCTTTCATCACAGCATGATGCGGATACGAGGCCTGAAGCATGGTTTGTTGAACATTTACCATCAGTCCGAGGACGCGACCACGTTTGCGGATGCCGAATCCACAAGCTTCTCAAGCATCTGGGAGCAAAAGGCCTGGCTTCAAATCAAAAATGGGCAGGCATGCAGGTCTGTCCGTGGTGGAACTTGATGCCCTCGGCTCATGATCCCGCGTACGACCGGCAGTTATCCAACAGCCCATAAGCGTCTCGTACTCTGCCCAACTTGCAAGAGGTGTTACAATCACTTCTTAGGTGCCCTTCCTTCTGGGGCTACCTGGGTCACCAAAAAAGGATAGAGTAAGCAGTGTCGCTTTACAGCAAAGTTTGGGCATGGAGGGAAACTTATTCGGGCTTATGAGCTTTCGCTGCCCAGAACCAACATGCAATCCTATATGACCAGCTTCAAAACAGGACTGTAGTCTATGCTAGCCTCTTCTTGGGGCTTCATTCTCTGTAGGAGAGGGTTCCTGTTCTGCTGTCGAATCAAGGAAATAATTGCCCTTCACCGGAGCTCACAGAAGCGCAATGCATCTCCTCACAGCTTATGATTTCAAGAGCGACCTTGCCAACACAAGTCCCGGTTTGACGAGTACGTGACACTTATTCACGGAGTAGATCACCAGAAAGCCGTAGGGCAATCGGGAATGACTGTGATCATTGTTTGGGATATGTTTAAAACTATGTGCTGAAACTAGTTTCCTTCAGCTACAGCAAACCAATCACGCAGGCTGTAAGGCCACATGCTCATTGTGATTGCTGCAAGTGAAGAAAAATGGCCCTGGTATCTCAGCCCGCCTGCACCCTCGACATCAGCTGTGCAGTGCGGCTCCTCTCAAGGGCTCCAGGGGCTGTTGGGCCTTGGGTTTTCCCTCAGACCGTACGTATACCAACAAGGGTGGGGTGCAGGGTTGACTGCTGGGGAGACAGGACTTCTCAGAAACAAGCTTTCGCAACAAACAAACCCAAGCTCCTGAACGCTAAACCACAAGCTCTAATCTCTCTTCAGGGCTGTCGGGTATATCGCCCACCATATGTTTCCCGCGTTTCATTTCAGGCTTCATGGGAGTCTGGAAGAAGTACACCTGCCCCTTTGAGGGGCTGGTGATGGGTGTTGGGAGATTCAAAGGTCTGCGGTGTAAAAAGTTAAGGTATTTGAGGGATGCGCAGTGAGGCTCGGCCCACCCTCAAAAAATCATCACCGCTTTGGAAGCCTTGTAGTTGGGGGCTAATCACAGACTCACATGGAATTCTACCAATGCTGCGGTATGCTATGGTCTGCAGTTGCAAGCTATATAAGATAGGTTGGGATCTTCTTCCCAAGTGCTGTGAATCTAGCTTGGCGCTTTACTTTGCAAACTCTCACAGCTCAGGTATGTAGATAATTCTCGGAAAGGAGAGCTGTTCTGATGATGTACGAACAACTACAAACGAGCATTTGGCGCATGACAGGTCAAACGGAGGCCCCGAACCTTGAACCGAAAAATCCTAAAACTAAGCAATCAACAACTCGTCCAAAAACGGGACATGTTCCTTCCGTCTGCTACTAGATTCAATCTGACTCCTGCCGGCCGCCACAGGGTTTGTCTAAACCTAAACCGCCGCACCCCCTGCGTACATTGGATACTCCCAATATGTTATAATATACCACAATGGGCAGTACTTTATATTGGGGGGTGGGGGGCTTAACATTAGGGGGAGAGTATTATCCTGAAAGACACCTTCGATGAGCTGCTGCAGCTGTGCCTGTCTGCATTCTGGCCATCGCTGGCCCACCGGGCTGCTTCTAACATAACCTGCAACAGACATTTGTGGTGTCATGGTATAACTCATGCTAACGATAAGTCATGCTAACGGAATTCACAAAATCCTACTAGCTCTTTGAACATGTCGTCGCTAGTGATAAACGTTTTGCAGCTAGGTGTCTCCAGGGGCAGCTCCCCGTACCTCCTGCGTGAAGATCGCGGCCTCCAGCTCCCTGCAAGCACGAAAGCTCAAGCTTCCATTTTGGATTGCAATGCTGTTTACTAAACCCTAAACCCTGTATATTTCCAAGGATTTCCCTAGAACCCCACACCCTACATATCTCCCCCTATATCCCTGCAACCGCATTTCTTAGGTAGAACCCTAAACCCTCTTTCTTCCCCATATATCCCTACAACCCCACTTCTGCAGGGGCTTAAACACCATATATCTCCCCCAATATATCCCTAAACTGGCCCTTGGCTAGCTAGGAATGAAGGAATAGATCCTTATAGTAGTCCCTGTAGCCATTTTCTCTCCATTCCTTCATTCCCAGCTAACCACTGGGTTGGCCCCTTAAACATATTTTGAAAACTATTAATACATAGGGTCCCCTATTAAAGCCATTAGGGAAAATATGAGACATCCCAGGAGCCTACCCAGACCAGAGGCCAGTAAAGCCCCAACTTTCCAGGCTTCGACATTAGGCCTCGCTTCACGGCGGAGGGCTCCAAGTTCGGCCTCCGAGCCGCTTTCGCCGACCTGCCAGGCTCAAGGGTCTAAGGTTTAGGGCTCAGGGTTTCGGATCTTGGGTTCAGGGTTCAGTGTTGGCTTAAGTTGAGTTCCAATAGGGCTGGACAAGAACATGGAAACCACCATACTTTGGGTGTATATACATATATATATATATCATCTATATAGGGACACTGTGGGCATGGAAGGATAAGGACTTCAGCTGAGTTTCCGCTGTAAGGAAAACCTTGTATTTGCCATGTGTCCAGATCATGGTCAGTTGGTTTAAGTACCCGATCAGCACCCAGTCTACTTCAAGGTGTTTTATGGAAACTGCTGCAGCTCATGACTTTTCAAAACAGCAATTCATGCTGTCTGTCGACGCAGCAGACGTGCAGGGCTAGGGAGTAGCCGAGATGTGCCCTCAACCCCAGGAAACCTGTATACAGGTCAGGGCCGCCAACTGCTTCGGACTTTTCGACAGGTCGGACAAGCAAGATTTGCAGGGCATTTTGGGGGGGGAATTGTTCGGCGCTGTTAGGAGGCATGATTTGCAGCTCATGAGCACTTGCTGCGGACTCATCACCCTCAAGCTCTCCCTGGACATGCCGCATGTCTTGCTGATGCTTGACGGAGATTTTACGCGGGTTCTGCAAGGAGAGTTACGGTGGTTGACTCCAGAAAGTCAGTACAGTGTATGGTTGTCCGCAAACAACACTCAGGAAGGACGACAATGGGGATCCCTAGTATTCTCCCTCAGAAACCCGATTCAGGGCAGATGTGCTCAAGGTCACATCTGCAGCATCAAGCCCAGCATCAACCCTTCCCACGGCTACTACTGCAAGGCGCTACAGCGGCCACTATCTCTAATACCCCACCACCAACGACTAGTCCACGTGTTACTTATCGGTCTACCAGATTCTCATCGGTCACTAACATTAGGCGGGCGTCCTACTGGTGACCTTGAGATTTTGGTGTAGTAGCGCTTGAAGACACTGAGCTGGCTCTTTGCAGAATGGTGCGGTGTAAAAACCATGTCTGCGGACAAGTCGGGAAACTCCTTTTCATCCAGGCACCTTCCCAGTAAAAACAACTGTCTGCAAGTGAAGCAAATCACAACCTCAAAACATTGCGAACGGCAAGTTCAAGGCCTCGGCATCTACAAACATCGCTTTTCCGAGCAGCACTCTCACACTCCCAAGTTTGCCGTTGCTGACGTGTCATCCAGCGATCGCAGAATCAACGATCTAAGCCTCTCGAGCACTTCTGGCTCCGGCTTCTGGGAGCCGTTCCAACCTCGCAGGTCAAGGAAGAAGTCCAGCTGCCAGCTGTGTTTCTCTTTGGTGCTCTGCCGCTTTGGCAAGCACCATGGTGGGTATAGGTACAATGTCTTGGCCTTCTTGCCCACGAAGCCATGTTCAACAAGCGCAGGTGTTGGAATGAAAAATGCCCCCTGAAGCTGGTCTTCGTCCATGAGGAAAGCAGCCAGCAGATCAAAGTCATTTTCATTGTAAGCGAGGTTTCCCATAGCGCCACCTTGTTTCTTCATTGCGACCATGTAGCGCGCATCAGTCCGGCGTGGATGCCTTGCCTTCTCCTGTACCCGAAGGTTCATGATAGAACCGTTGACATTCACAATAGCCAGCAGCGAATCCACAGCTGATTGATGCACAGTAGGGTAACGCAGGCACAAATCCGCAGAGCTGATGAGTTGATCAAACAACAGGTGCGCCGCAACCTCCAGCTTGTGATTATCGGCACATTGCAGCATGGCTTCAGCAATGGACACATGCGGGAACTCAGACTCGTCTTCAAAGCAAGCGACCGAATGGGATCCAAGGTCCATCACTCGCCGGCTGGTATCACTCTTACATCCTACTGTTATCCACAGCTCTTTTGATGACATCTCTTGGCCAGCAGATGCCCAAATATGCTTCCCATCAAGGCCAATCATAATTACCAACATGCCGTCGTACCCGGATAAGTGCTGAAACTGATAGTTTTTGCCTCGCATAGCCGAGCTTGTGGCAGCTTTCAGCTGGATCGGCAGTCCCTCTTCAAAGCCGTTCGGCATGAACAAGGCGTCAGCTTTGGATGCGCCAGTCAAGCGCTGAATCTTGTGAAAGCTTGACATCGGGGATGCCCGAAAGTATGACTCCAAAGTCTTGAAGGCTTCGGCTTCCTTGTGAGAGTTCCTGCCCCAAGTTTTCAAGCCTCGTGCTCGCGCCTGTTCGGGCGGCTCCATGTAAGCAGCTTCTTGAATTGTGGGGAAGTTCAGCGAGCGCTTCAGCCTGAGCGGATTGTTCTTGCATAGCTCTCGCAGTTTGTTATCAAAAGCTTGCGCAGCCTGCTCCGCGCTGCCGGAATAGCCAACATGATGAACCTTCCCTGCAACACGTAGCTGCGCACGAAACTTGCGTCCGTCTGGCTGCCAAACAACTCCCCGATATTGCTTTGCAGCAGCCCTGGCCGCTGAATCTGACATGCTGGCAGCCACAGAAGCAGAAGTAAAGAGCCGACATGCCAAGAAATCCAGAAAAGCCACAAGTGCCCCATGGCGCACCCAAGATGTGCGCATGCTTCCTGAAGATGAGGCTGCCATCTTGTCATCTGGGAGCTTTCAAGGCAGGTGGTCACGCCTGAGCCCTGACCGTAGTTGAGCTGCCAACTCAAAAGAACTCAGGACCCCAGAAGCAAATGCAAAAACTCCGAGGTCCAAGACGTCAGAGAAAAAACCTGTAAGAGCATGGAGCTCTTCAGAAAGTACAGTAGGTAGCAGAATAGTAGAAGAAGCCCCCATCCTGATCTCTAGAACACCCACAACCCGTATCCTTACTCCAACTTCCTAGCCAGCGCTATTGCCACCTTTGGGGAGGCGAACAGAAACTGGAAGGGCCTAAAAAGTTACGAATGTCCTTTTGAGGTTCATTCGTGGCACCCTGTACCAGAATTATACATAGGATCCAGAACCATAATTCTGGTGGCTATTCAGGAGTCTACACTACAGTGCAGAACTTGTAAAATCCGGTGTTCACGTCATTCGCCATGTTTTTTGCATTTCATCTTACATTACTACCCTAACCCCTCAACCCCATCCTTATGGCCTCGTTTACCCCTTTCGTCCGTATGTACCTCATCTAGGCTTCTCATTGCTACATGAGCTAGAGTCTAAACTCCTTAAACGGGACTATATGGGGGACCACTAATGGGGAAATTGATTAAGGGGGGATGCCTCCTCGAGTTGCCCAGCCACTTCCCCCGCCCGCTGGCGGAACTCCGCCAGTGCCTGTGCCGCTGGGCTTCGCTAACTAGGAAAAATAGTCTAGGGCATAGGGCCTGTAGGGACTGTAGGGACTGTGCGGACTGAAGGGACTGTAGCGTTTGAGATTCAGGATTTAGGATTTTTGTTGAAGGATTTAGGGTGTGGGAGCTAAGGTTTGGGGCTTAGGGCTTTGAACCTACAACGAGACAATACGTACAGGCAGGCATGCTGTTTATCGCCTACTCGCTGGCGTCGTGATCGGCAAGGTTGTCTTACCACTGGCTAGCAAGGGATGAAGACGCGGATCCTCACAGTAGTGCCTCTATATATATATGTATATATATATATACAGATTCCCTATAGTATGACATTTTCCATATTCTTTTCCAGTCCTCCATTCCCTGCAGAGGTAAGACCAACATGCTTGGAACACCATCTATCCTGCTGAGATTTGGGGCTGGTGCTGTCTTGCGTTGACGATAGATGCGGGGGGTTACGCATGCATGAAAATAGATGGTTTCTCTGAAGCCTAAACATAAATCCTAAGCCAGAGTATCCCCATTGGAAATACCGCCAATGTGAGAGAAGGCCTGCTGGCGCTCAGCCACCGTCATCCAGCAAAGATCGCTGCCTTCGTCACCTTAGGCTGTAGAGGTCTGTAGAGGCTGTAGAGGTTGGAGTTTCCCGGTTTTGGCTACGAGTTCCAGGTTGGAAGCTTTAGGACTGGAAGATCTAGCTACCAGCCTCTTCTGCCTTTTTCTAGATGACTTCTAACTTGCGATGCCAGTCACTTCAGACTTTGAAAGATCCAGCATGGTTTTTCACAGTAGGAAACCTTGGAGAATGCCCGGATTCTGAGAGTTGGCATGGTCTACAATGTCTTGCATGTACATTTGCGGCTTGCTTGAGCACGGCTCGTCAAGGGCCGTCACACATCCTGCTAGGCATTTCAAATTGCGGGCTGAGATGGCGTAGATGCCTCTCAGCCCTGGAACTGCCCAGGATTCTGGGCCCGATTCACGTATGTACCCCTAATGAGCAGCCCCCCTGTGAGCACTTGGGGATCTTCACAGAAAATTCCAGCAATGTCCAGGATCTCTGGAAAGGGCCCTTCAACCCCTAAACCCCTAAACCCTGAACCAGGTTCTCCAAGGCTGGCACTGGGCGAGGAACGTGTAGCCTGCAGCATTGGAGGCACGTGCAGAGCCCCAATAAGGTTGCTAAAAATGGGGAGGCTCTCAGGAGCCCAAACGGTGTAAAAGGTGTAAAGGATTTAGAAGAGGATTATGAGGGCTACCGTTAGGAATTAGATGGAGAATGGTTTGAAAAGCGCCCAGATCAACTTACTCCCGCCATCCTGACCCAAACATTTGGTTCAAGATGCTGTTCGTACTTCAGCTAGGCTATGTCTTGTGTGTGTTTTGTCTGGATGCATAACCCATGTCAGGTTGCAGCCGCGACAGCACCACATGCTTTTCATACTTTGTCTTCAGGGCAATTTGGGACAGCTAGCATGGGAACACAGTATGGGCACTGCAGTAGTAGCACTCCAAGTTGGGCAGGACGCTCCTGGGTTACATTATGTGCTTCAGCGTTGTATGGAAACTGTGGGGCTGGGCATTCAAGATGCGGTTGGGCAGCCCAGGAAGATGGCTGACAAGGGAAGCAAAGCCTGTTTTCGTCAGATTGTCAGATTGAAAAACACAGCAAAGGTGGGGAGTGATAGCCTTCAATAAAGAACAGTCCTCTAGCAGTTGTTTGTGCCTTTGGGCTGGCCAGACGCAACTGAAAACTATTTTATTCGTGGAAAGATTGTCAATCAAACTCCCCAGGACCGAACACCAAGTACGAATTGCTCAAGAACGACTAACAATGACTGCGAGTTCTCATGGAACCCAGGCTGACGTGCCCAACGCCAAACGATACTTGAGCAATGGTCACGCAGTTGTGTCTGACTATGCTTAGTCAGCATCGGAACAAGGAGTTGCGCATGAACTGAACAAACAAATTGCATGCAGAGATGTCTGGTTGCCAGGAAATGATGTGCCAACTCTGCTTGCAGTTGCTGCTTCAAGATAATGCCTACTTTGACAGGCGCCCTTATCGCGATGATCACTAGTACTGCTGTTTGTCCTTGCTACCGGCTATAAAAAGGCTGCCATTAACAGCCGTCACCCTGAAACCTAAAGGGTCGTTTCCCTGGTCCAGTGGAGAGACCCCAAATGAGCTATGCTCTAAACTCCTCAAAGGGGGTTATATACGGGACTATATAGGCGAGTATGATAGGGGCTATGAGTGGGGAAACTTAGAGTTTAGACCCTCAACCCTAAACCCTAAACCCTACCTAATCCCGTTTATAACCCCTCCTACAGAGTTTAGACAGTAGCTCAGATCATGCTGGCCTGGTGCAGCTCGCTGTCTGATGTGGCAGCAGTAAGTGCCTTGCATGGCAGAAGCGAAAAAGAACTCAAAGAAGCTGGCCAGTTGCTAGGCTCCCTGGCAGCTAAAGGGATATGGGGTAACAAAACAGATCAGGCAGGAGTAGGAATTGGGGTTCAGGATTTGGGATTTTGGGTTTAGGGTGAGCACTTGAGAAACTTAAGGGCAACCACCCACTCAAAATTCAAATTCGCAACTTTCAACGACTTAGCTCCAAAAGTTCTGAGTCAGCATGAAGCTCCCGTATTGAAGAAGCTCGAGGCTTTGCATAAGCCCACACGCCCCGCCTCCCAAACATGTCGCGAATCCTTGTAGAGTCCAGCTGCAGGGTGTCAACACGCTCCCAAGAAAATACGCATATCACGTACTAACGTGATCTTGACGAAGTTTACAGAGGACCAACCCGCTATCACACTCACGGAAGGCATGCAGTAGATTCAACATCATATACGCCAGGTCCACCCCAGAACTAACATGGAAATCAACAGGGCCCACTTTTGAAAGGAGAGCACTCTTTACAGAACCCTTCCATGTTAATGTGCGGAGGCAATGCAGGGCCTGCGCGACTCGCCGAAGTCGCCCTGCCTGCAAGGTTTAGGGCTCAGGGTCATTCATTAGGGGGATCTCCCCAACCTGTAATAGTGGTAAAGGAATATAATAGGACCCTCACATAATCCTTATTATACCTTATACTCACTATTACAGGGTGGTGGCTCCTCCTAAGTCATTCAGTTGTATACTGTCCAAAAAGTAAGGTCTCCTGTTTGGAATCAAGGGGTCCTTCCTGTGGAAGTCGTTGAGGAGTGCTTGAGGAGTGCGAGGGTAAGACTGCCTTTGTTAGAAAGTTCCTTCACTCACGCCCGCATTCAGAAGGACAAGCACATGGACACTCACCAGAACATGTCTTAAAGCAGGCGCTACATGACATTCCATGCGGCCTCGAAGCAGGCGTCTGCAGCTTGATGTTCGGCCTGCCGAGGGAATTTGAGGCAACGCTCTCCCAAACACCTGACAGCGTATGTTGGCGTTGTCCTTATATTCTTTTAGGGCGGTCTCAAAATGCCTAATCCTCTGCAGCCCGACGTCAAGGCCTTCTTTTATTGTGTAGCAGGCCTGCTGGTGGCGCAGATTGCCAAGCTGCTCCTGACCCATCCGGCAGGTTCAGGGCTCCAGGGCCCAGGCTTGAAGATTTTCGCCAAGGATTCGGCACTCGGCTTTGGACACATGGGGACAAAATGGTATTTTCAGACGTGTTTGATGTTTGTGCTGTCTTAAGGTGGAGTTGTGAGGAGTACGCTGCGAATTTGACGCCTTCACTGGCATACATCCCTACCTAAAGGCTCACAAAGCTCAAGACTTTCTCGGAATAAGGCCTCACAGGTACTGGGAGGTACCTGTGCAATCCTGGGCCTCATCTCCATCAGCAACACGACTTTTGAAGTGGTACTCTAGCCAGGAGGATGTCGATTATCATAATTTGCTTAAGGCTAGCGGGTACCTCACTTCACTTCTCGAGTGTTAAATGTTTGGCTGGCTTTGTGCAG